CGTGGTGACCGAGATCGTGCACGTGTTCGTCGACGCCCTGCCACACGTCCCCGAGCACCGCCGCCTGCCCATCCTGTCCCAGCTGGTGGGCACCCTGGGCCCCGCCCACTTCCTGTGGGTGCTCCTCCTCCTCCTCTTCAAGCAGCACGTCACACAGACCGCAGCCAGCGCCGCTGGGGCAGAGAAGGTACAGCACGCCTTAAACAAAGCTGGAGGCAGGTTTTATAGTGCTCTTTACATTACATTACATTGCATTCATTTAGCAGACACTCTTATCCTGAGCAACTTCCAGCACAAAAGAACAGAAGTGTATCCATTCAAGCTGAATGAGCAACAGTGTCAGACCAGGCTAACAACACTCCATTTAGTCTATAAGGTTATTTTTAAGGGCCAGGTGTGTGAGTGGCGGTTCATTCAGACCAGAAGCAGGTTACAGGCCACAGCCATTATTCCCCTCACACTGCTCTACATCTAAGCATTTAAACGTTTAAATATAAATGTCTCTTTGCCCCAGGATGCTGCGTTGGAGAGGGACGTGGAGTTCTGGATATCGGTGTGCTGTGAATTCGAGGTGCAAGACCAGCTGATGTCCCTGATCAAGATCTTGCAGTATCTGACAACTCTCCCCCAGGACAAGGAAGAGGGTGAGAGGCCACCTTCACCCATCATATCAAATATTAATACATTACATATGCTTAGCAGGCACCCTTCTCCAGAGCTGTATATTTACTGAGGCGATACAGGTTAAGTACCTCGCTGAAGGGTACCACAGTTGTGGGCCACAAATATGTACTGCTACTTAGTACACATTTTGGCGTCATCCACTGATTATACGGTCCAAGCTCTCACAAAAGTTTCAGCTGGTGCCGTTGTGCCGTTCACAGGTCAGGAGAAGAGGAAGACTCTACGGAGCGCGGCGAAGAAGGAGACGGCCGAGGCCCTGCTCTTCAGCGTGGACGAGCACAGCGGGAAGGAGCTGCGGCACTTCAAATTCCTCTCCGTCTCCTTCATGGCCCAGCTGCTGGCCTGCGGCAGCTTTGTGGGGAAGGTAGGCCTTCGGTGCACAGTTGTCTCCAGTTTGGAGACCAGGTTGGAGCTTGAATGGGATTTTCAGCAGTGTCTTGTATCTTCCAGGTGGCTGAGTGTAGTGATGACACGCTAGAGTCCCTGCAGACTTTGGAGCAAAGGTGAGCTCTCTGACTGCAAGCATCTGCATGTATGTTACTTGAAAATGAAGGCAGCAGTGTGGAGTAGCGGTAATGGGGAGGACTAGTAACCAAAAGGTGGCTGGTTCGATTCCCCACTGGGCCCCTGCTGTTGTACCCCTGGGCAAGCTACTAAACCCACAATTGCGTCAGTAAGTTTCCAGCTGCATAAATGGATAAAATTGTAACCTATGTAAGTCGCTATGGATAAGAGCGTCTGCTAAATAACAATAATCTAATGTGATGTAACGAATGATTAAAATTTGCCTTTTCAAAGTACAATAATTCTGGGAGCGAGAATAGATTTGTTTAATTTTCAGTTGGGCGTGAGTGATCTGGACTGTGGGTGTGTCTCTCTAGCCTCCTGGAGGAGATCCTGGGCTACATCAATGGTGTGGCTCGCTGCGTGGAGGAGAATGCAGACAAACCCACTGCCAAATTTTGGAGGGCCCTGCTCAACAAGTCTTATGATGTCTTGGACAAGGTAGGACCACGTCCACCCCTCTATAGCATTCCTTTCTGTTGTCAAGGCATCAGCTTTTGACTTCATTCATTCATTCAACTTCATTCAGTCATTGCATCTAGTTAGGAAAAATTCTGCCTCCATGACCTTACGGTCAGCCTGTTTTTTCTTATGAGTGCCCTGAAATGCCCACAGCCTTCTGAGAAATTAACCCCTGTTTATGGTTACCAGTGGAGGCCCCTGATTTCCGGGAGATAACCGGTTGGCTGCTTTGTGATGTCATAATACCATCTTGTGCAGGTGAACGCTCTGTTGCCCACGGACACCTTCATCACTGTGATGAGAGGCCTCATGGGTAACCGGCTGCCCTCGGTTCGCCGCAAGGCCATGGAGCTGCTGAACAACAAACTGCAGCAGAGGACCCAATGGCAGGAGGAGCAGGTAAGTGGGCAGGGCCGCTCAGTCCCTGCCATCTCATTGGCTCACATGCCCCAAGCAGAATTAAAAGCTTTTTGAGTGATGTCCTGGGGTAAAGACTGGGCCATTCTCATCACCGATGACCCCCCCCCACATGCACAGGTGAAGGTCCTGCTGGAGCTGACCCAGGATCTCCTGGCCGTCGTGGGTGGGGGCCAGCCTGACGAGGAGGAGCAGGCCATCAACAGGCAGACTGCCCTCTACAGCCTCAAGCTGCTGTGCCGCAATTTCGGCAGCAGCCACCAGGCGGCGTTCGTCCCGGTGCTGAATCGGGCGGTGGAGCTGGTCGCCTCCCCCGACGAGGAGAGGAACGTGATGGGCAGCGCACTGCTCTGCATCGCTGAGGTCACCAGTGCGCTGAAGGCCCTGGCCATCCCACACCTGCCCAGGTAAAGACAACTGTGACATGTTACTAGCTCTTCATTTAAAATGTTCAAGTAACCAGCACCACTAAGACCAAGTGATCACTGCAGAGTTCCGTTTCATTTATCCGCATTGATGACCTATACATTCTTGTATGTCTGTGAAAGCAAATGCAAAGGCCTGTGTATATTTTGTGTGAATATAAATTCCAGTTGTACAGAGTCAAGCTGTATAAATAGATAAAATTATAACCCTGTGAAAGGCACTCTAAAAAGAGCATCTGCTAAATGACAGTAAGTAATGTAATGTAATGCGAGTCTGTGTTTGTCTCTAATTACGGTGCATGATGGCAGCTAATGATGGCCTTTGTGCCCTGCTGTTCCAGGCTCATGCCCGCAGTGCTGCAGACTCTGAAAGACCGCAAGGAGCTCCTGTCCAATGAGATCTACCTGCTGAGCGCGGTCACCGCCCTCCAGCGAGTGTCCGAAACCCTGCCCCACTTCATCAGCCCCTACCTGCAGGACACACTGCTACAGGTGAGGCCAGTCACCCTTCTGCTCCCTCCAAGGGCTCCACTGTGAAAATGCGGCACCCGCAAGCAGGAACAAACTGCAGGCGTATTCGGCTGCTTCGGCGCTTGAGTCATGTTCCCGTAATGTTTGAATAGTTTCAAACAGATGCATTTTTTGGGGGCATAATTAAATTACTCGAATGTCTGAGCTTGTTTTTTTTTTTTTAATGAGCTGACATCACTGCCTAAATTGTGTTCTTGATACAATGTGGTGTATGTGGGTATACTCAAATGTTGTCTCTTTGTTCTGGGGTTTGCTTGATGGTTTGAGGCCATTATCTCTTGTGCAGTAAATTGCACGAGGTAATTCCAGATGACAGCGATGATTACGATTGAGACTGAATAATGGGGCTTTGTGGATCCATTTGTCTGACTGAATCTTCCCTTAACATCACTCCCAGGTGGCCCATCTCACCCGGGTGGCTGAGCGGGTGACCACGTCCCCACAGTTGGGCATCCGTCTGGCCTCCCTCAGAGCCACCCTGGCCACTAAGGTGCCCCCGCGGGTCCTGCTGCCCACCGTCACCAAGTGCTATAACCAAGCGGTCACGTCCCAGCAGGTAGGTGCTGGCCAGAGCTCAGACTGGAAGCGGGCCCTTCCTGGCGCGACAGAGCCACAGTAGAGCCCATTTCCAGTAATGAGATTACACAGTAAAGCTACTGTAAATGTGCAACTCTGAAGACTCTTTCTGGGCAAAGGCTATGTTTAACAGAGGGCTGTGAAAAGAGGTGTGCTGCACATCGCTTTGAATTAGGAGCGCGAAAACAATATGTAATCCCTCTGTGAATGTATGACTGATGTTAAGCATGAGGTCTTTCATCTTCTCCATCGCTTCAGAGCCGACTGGGGCCTCTGATGGGCATCCTGAAGGAGCACATTGGTCACATGGAGAAGGATCAGCTGACATCCCACCAATCAGAGCTCACCTCCTTCTTCCTCACTGCCTTGGACTTCCGAGCCCAGCATGGCCAGGTACGGTCCGCTAGAATGGAGATGGGACACTGTGTCACTGATATTCTTTCGTCGAAGAAGACAGCATTTTCTGTATGTGATATTCACTGCTCTGTCCCCGATGAGTTAGTGGTTTGTGTAACCTTAAAAAAGTAACCTCAGTCATCCTGTTGTTTATGAAAATGTGTTGTCAGTGAGACCATAGCCTATTTGGATATGACTATGTTATGAGAAAGAATATAAATTTTTTTAAATGCCAGCCTTTGAAAATGAAAATATCTTCCAGACTCCAGTGCTTATTAAGATTCATGAGCTCTGAGGTGGAAAGTGTTCCTTAGGCTCGTTTGCTGTTAAATATTCATGAATGCAGAGAAGTATAGGGTTCCTTGCCTTTATTTTTAAGGAGAGTAGGAAGGAATAGAGAGTGATAAATCTAGTTATTAAAGAGAATGCCAGCAACTGTCTTGGTGGAGCTGTCTGTAAACACACCTTAATTATTAGCAAACACACAAGGTTTTCAGCTTGTTTGTGTATGGCTAGTGTCACTTTAGTTATTTTATGTTGAGTGATGAATTTAGTTTGGGATTTTTAAAAGGTTTGTTTTTTCCATTTCTGGTGGTTTTGTAGGCTAGTCTGGAGAAGACTAATGAGACAGAAGGCTTCATCATCGACTGCCTGCTGGTCATGGTCATGAAGCTGTCAGAGGTCACCTTCAGACCCCTGTTCTTCAAGGTATGATTGATAATTACACAGCCACATTATATGATCTTGTACTGTAATCTTTTCCCTGTTACTTTTTACTCGCAAAGCTAATGAAAAGCACATGAGCTCTCACAACATATTACTTTATTGTCATTTGGCAGATGCTCTTGTCCAGAGTGATTTGCATAGGTTACAATTTCATCCATTTATACAGCTGGATATTTAATTAGGCAGTTAGTTGTGGGTTAAGTGCCTTGCCCAAGGGTTCAACAGCAGTGGAATCGAACCAGCAACCTTTCAGTTACTAGCCCTGCTCCTTACCACTATGCTACACTGCCACCCCTGACACCAAATGTCTCAGTAAAGCTTTGGCACTCATTCTTGTGGTTTAGCATTCAGAAGGTGACTTGTCTCTGTGTTTGTGCCCATCCAGCTGTTTGATTGGTGTAAGACAGAGGGCGCCCCCAAAGACCGCCTGCTGACCTTCTACCGCCTCTCTGACTGCATCGCCGACAAACTCAAGGGTCTCTTCGTGCTCTTCGCTGGCCACCTGGTCAAGCCTTTCGCTGACCTGCTCAGCCAGACCAACGTCACCAAGACAGGTTTGTGTCCTAACACTGACAACACTGCAAAAACGTGGCATTTAATGACAAAAACAGGCTATTTGGCCCCACCCATGCCCTTCGTGACATCAGTGGAGTAGCGCCTATTCTCCAGCTGGGGCCATTTCAGTGTGGTGTATTATGTGAGCTGTAGTGCAAATAGTAGCCGTTTGCATAGGAGTTACAAATTGGATTCATTTTGCTGGGGGTAAGGGGTAGATAGGTCACACCACTCTCAGCAATCTCTCAGAAGGCAAAAGGAAAGTTTGGTGGAAGGCATTAAGAAAAAGATTGAAATGCCAGTCATGCTTCAGATTTGCTTTGTGATCTCTTGCCAAACTGCTTCCTCTATTTGCAGACGAAGCGTTTTTCGACTCTGACGACAACATGGAGAAGACGTGCCTGCTGCTGCAGTATGTCCTGGACTGCCTGAATAAGATCTTCCTGTACGACACGCAGCGGTTCCTCAGCAAAGAGCGGGCAGACACCCTCATGGCACCGCTCGTCGATCAGGTAAGAAACACCCCTGTCCCACCCCCCCGTCCCTCTCATAGGTTGCCAGAGAGGAGTACCTAGCTCAGCTCACACATCCTCCAAACCAAAGCTTGACTGTGATGGCCACCATTTTCACCTCACATTCTCATACCAGACAATATACACAGTTTTACTGCTGGCCCTTGGCTTGGTCAGCAAGGCTACTGCAGGATTCCTGCATTGCTGATGTAACAATGACCCAGCGACACAACAGGCCTCAAACCTGATGATCGCACAGGAGAGTGGTTACTGAGGATGTGTAGAAGATGCCACTGACTCCAGTGGAATGGGAGTGCATTCAAGGCCTGCCAAAATGGCCCTTTGGTTTTGAAGTCGTGTCACACGCCCCAGTGACGGTTGTTCTGCCATCATTCACTGCCCGCTGCTCTCCGTTGCACTCTGGGGCGAGAACTGCACCTCACAGTAGCTTCTGTGCTTGTGCGCCCTCAGCTGGAGAACACACTGGGAGGAGACGAGGTCTACCGGACCAGGATCACCAAGCACCTGGTGCCGTCCGTCGGCCACTTCTCCGTCGCCATGGGAGATGACTCCCAGTGGAAGCCCCTCAACTACCAGGTCTTGCTGAAGACCCGGCACAACTCTCCCAAGGTAAGACCTGCCAAATGAGAGAGAGGGAGGGTATAGCTGGACCTCATTGGTACCTGGGACAGGTCTTAACTGTCTATTGCTGTTAAGCCAATAGAATTGAAATTAAGTTTTGTTTTGTGAGCAGAGGGGAAGTGACATCATGCTTTCCCTGTTGGGGTGGGATGTCACCATTGTTACATTCAATCCACTTCTGGTCTCCATTTTTGCATTGGTGCAAAATACACATGCATTGATTGTATGTATTTTGTATGGATGGTTACATTTTAGACAGTTATGTTATTTATGTTTTGAGCACAAGGTAGAAACCCTAAAGCCAACCAAATGACATTGCAAATCTGGGGATGCTCATGACGTGATTGCCAGCGAATATAAATTAGAGCAATGGGCTGTTTGTCCTGTTCTCAGGCAAGTAGCTTGGCTCCTTTCCAGGTAAAATGGGTCTTTGAACATTCTGACAAGAGCACAAATTTACTCTGGTTTAATGTGTAGTCAGCTTGCCTCTAACTAACAGCGAGTGCCCCAGCATGTTTATCTAGAGTAAACTCTGTCCCCTGAGCAGTGTGGTGTCCCTTGTGCCAATGGTGGCTTCATGCCTGTGTCCATCACCTCTTCAGGTGCGCTTCTCTGCCCTGCTGATGTTGCTGGAGCTTGCAAGCAAGCTGAAGGAGAACTACATGGTGCTCCTTCCCGAAACTATCCCTTTCCTGGCCGAGCTGATGGAGGGTGAGTTACAGTGTGTTTAGGCATATGTGTGCACCTTGTTCCTCCTTGGTAATGCTTAGCAAGGCAGCCATTAAAAAAGTATTAGCTTTGTTTGTACATAGTTTACGGATTTAAAATTGATATGTCCCCTTATACAGCGAGCGTGCAACAGAACAACCTCGCCGATCAAAACCATCTGACAATCCATCTGAGTCTAGTTTCCTAACCACTCTTTCACACCATGTACATGTTTTTTTTAGCTGATTTCACTTGCAGCTCACCATTTTATCTACATGAATCCCAATTAGAAGTTGGTTCAATTAGTTGAATGTAATCATTTGGGGTTAGGTCTTCCATAAGTGCAATGGAAACGGGACCCTTCTGATTACCTGAATGGTGACTTTGCAGTTTTTTTTTATTATGTTAATGCCCCATGCTGCTCTGTGTTACAGATGAGTGCGAGGAAGTTGAGCACCAGGTGCAGAAAGTCATTCACGAGATGGAAACCATCCTGGGAGAGCCGCTGCAGAGCTACTTCTAACGGCTGCCCAATCAGGGCCTCCCGCTGGGGCCGCCCCGTTTAGGACTTGACCGCCACGGGCTGAGGCGTGCAGCCCCTGTCCGTTTACATGTTAACATTTCTTCCCAGACATCTATGCATCAGTCACGCATCAAACTGTATGGACACTGCATAATCGAGTGAAAGGGGGGTTAACCTTTATTGTCATGTGTGACTTGACTTAATGCAGCAAAGGTGCTTGGCCTAAAATCCACATTTCCATTTTACAAGAACTGTTGGTCACCCATGCATCAAATCTGAAAGTGGTTAAAACAACAACCTATATGGCTTTAGTAAATATGTGTACAGGTGTTTTTCAAAGTACTGTATGACTATATTTTTATGGTCAGGAATACACATCTGAGGGCATCAGTGTGTGTATGATTATTCAAAATAGTAAACTGGAAAAACCTGAAGGATAAATCACATTTTACTTAACTCACCAGCAAGAGCACATTCAGCAATGGCAACAGAACATTACTACTGTTACTGCTACTGTTTGCCATACTCATGAGCTTCACATTTGGTTTATGTTTGCCTGGTGGAATCGTATTATTCAAATGACCATTTTACACAAATGTGACGTGAGAAGAGGCAGCTGCCATCGACGTCAAAATCTCATTTACAAAACAGTGAAGGTAACATGATATATGCAAATCTACCTTTCTACTTTTCTCACATTGTGCATTATGGGCATTGTTAAATGCATTGAATTTATGATTTGACATTTATATTGCTTACTCGTTAATGTGACAGACATATAACTGTCGCATATAAATGTCGCATTTCAGGACCATGATTTGGAGAATGTACATTAATTTGGAAAATATGTAAACTGTGTGTTGTATACATATTTATAACCATGGCGATATGTCATTCCACTACTTGGTCTAGGTGGGTTGAAATATTAAATATGGTAATTTGGTCACTCAGCTCGAGATAAACTGGGGGAAATGTGACCAGCCCATCCTTGCCCGGTAAGAAGCACGTCTCTAGGCGGAGTAGGCAATTCGTGCTGTGCTTAACAGTGGTTCAATAAAGACTCGCCTTTCTCCAGCGAAAGTGATCTCGTGTTTATTTCATTTGTGTAGCTCACAGTACAAAACAATACGTTGCAAATGTGTAAAAGCAAAGCACAGCTGAAATCTAACGACAAAAATAAAGGCTATCGCAGATGTGACATCAGATTGCTACTATTTAAGGGATTGACTCATAAACCATTTGTTATGTAATTTGAATGGATTAAAGAAACCGCTTATCCATATAGGAATGCGCTTGGGCGGTGCCTCAAGTTTGATCTGTGAGCAACATGAGGATAGTGCCAGCCTTGCAGTGACTTTTGCCGTTCTACGTTCCTCCATGTTGCAGATGATCAATTTCTGTCTTTATCTACTCGGACACTTTGCGTCGTACCACTCGGAGCAGTCGTCTCTTCGGATCTGCGCACCGTTACAGAATAATGTTCATTATGAGGGGCTGGAGAGGAATACAACTTGCGCTACAGATCCATAAACGAAATCACCACTCTGTCGGAATAATTGGCGCTCCGTTTTCGAAAGGTCAGGTAAGCAACTAGCTATTGCCAATAGATTATCTTTATTATGAAATTTTGATTTAAACCGGTATATATTTAACATAATATCGTGTACACTGTCAATGTTTTGTGTACCGTACAATAAATGCTGCTGTCACATGGTACCTATTTCACTGTCATATTTGCGCAAATGATCACGTTCTTCTACATGTAGCTTATTTATTATCTCTCACGGCAGCCAAGGGATGGTGTAGAGAAGGGACCGGATCTTATTCGTTCTGATGGATTGGTGGAGAAGCTTAAAGGGCAAGGTAACGTCAAAGTTTCCCTACCGCAGGTTGTTATTTAAAAATAAATCCAGAGCTTTCTCCTCGGTGCCGTATTTACTAGATTTAACCGCCGTTGCATTAATTTTTAGAATGGAATTCATAATGTGAAAGCGTTGTCTTTCACGGCAAGATGTAAAAGTAACGGAAAGTAGGCTATGGCTCCTAATTTTCTTAACGAGTTACACCCCATAATGCACAATCAGGTGCTCATGATCTGCTGTCCAAGACAACACCCTTATCGTTGTTAGTGTTGCCTTGTGAATGCCACTTTTAGTGCCAGCAGATAAAAATACTATAGATTTCATATAATGTGTATGTCAATTAACTATAAGTACAACCTATTATGATTTTCATCATCGCTCTGTCCTTTGTTTCAATATCATCTATATTAAATGCTGGCGTATGTTCTCTAAATAGCCTACAGAAAACAAGCTCACGTGTAACCTGATCTGTAGCACTAGAGCTCTAA